CGAGATTTACCCGGTGTGCATGCCTAACAATGATAAGGGAATCTGCCGCGCCAAGTTAGTTTTCCATGCAGCTTGAGAATCCAGACTTTGGGCAGTGGCTCACTGAGCCTGGAGAATACGTGCTCTTTAAGTCTCGAGGCACAATGTAGAATATAACGTCTCGAGCAGCACGGATATGATGATAGTGATCAAATGAAAGGACTGAACCATAGAGATAAGAGACCGATCCTACAGGGCAAAAGGAAGATTGATAAGGGTTGGAGGAAGAGGTTTGAAGACTGAAAGGACATACTTTGATCAACGCTCTTGGCGCAGTTGGGAGGAAGAGGAAAAAGCAATCACCGGGGCGTGTGAATAGGTTTTACTAAATTTGCACAAGAGAGCACATCTGAACTAGCTTTAAATAAACAAGTAAGATATCGCGATAGTGAAGGAGTGATACGAGGATATACAATAGATGAATGCACCAAGACAGGAGAGATATCACAACAGTTTAGCTAAGAATGGCTCACTAACGATGCCGGTGAAACGTCTGTAAAATGCACCAAGTCCATAGCTAGAATCTGGAATTCATCATGCGGGCTATGGACTCTGGACAAGGTGGGTTCCTCACGCTCTTCCTGACAATACGACCAAGTTGTGAAAACAAGGTCAAAGAATTTCCATATGTCTAATGCATTACGAATCGCTGCTGTCAAGCCTTATTTTCTTAGTGGGATTTGAGTCTGCAGACCAAGGTCTGCGCTTAAAATACATCTATTTTTTTACTTGCTTCACGACGCTGAATTAAGTTATGAAACAAATCAAAGCAAGAACTCAGGATGTTCTATTGCAATAAACCTTCTAGCATGCTGAATATATAAGGACTCTTTTGTCTGTTGGCGAGTCTTGTGTTGATACCTCTATTATTTACGGCATAACTAGACTGACTAGAGCACTAAGACTCGATCTGGTCTCTTAGGCCAGGTCTGCTGTCACTTTTAGCATGGCCTCTTGGCACAGGCTAGTGCTGCGATGAAGTTTTGATATGGGCTGACTTCGGGAAATGCGCATAAATCTTTCTCGGTAGTGTGCTCTGACAGTTGTTCGTGGATTATAGTGAGACTGTTTGTTTTCTGACTGCATGGAATAGACTGAACGAAAAGAAGCTCAACATAGCCCGTAATACGTCTTAGTTCGTTAGCACGCATCTACTTTGCCTCCCCCGGGGACTTAATCCTTGACCAACCATGAGGGTGTTCAGCTTCGTTATCATCCGACAAAAGTGTGCCAGACTTCTACTCCATATAAATTTCAACTTACGTAGAAGGAAAGAAGACCACACCACATCGCGTCGTTCACTGACTCCCTAAAATAGTAAGATACAATCCTTTAAAAGCGAGATATTTGGTATTCAAAAATTGTATGGCCTGTGCTGTAATCCACAAGGTGTTTATGGTATCACTGATAAAGAAAC